GAAGAGCTGAAAGGAACGTGCAGCACCGCTGCTATCTGAAATAACTACACCCGTGGAAATGCCCTTTATGTGCAAATTCTCGCATTTAATAAGTGCAGAGATGAACAGCCAGAGCTGCAGACAGCACCACTAGCTAGGGTGTGTCTCATTCATATTTGCAGTTATCCTAGGAACTTCTAAAACGGAATTCTTTCTGCTGAGAGCTTTTGGGGACTATTCACCCTGTGCGTAGCTTAAGGTGGAAAGGACTCTCTTAGCACGTCACTCTGACTTCCTATAAAACAATAAGTTTCTTCACTCATAGATTATTTTTTTTCCTTGGCTGAATATTTTTCAGAAAAGCTGAAATTTGCAAGTCGTGAGATATCTTACAGATGTTCCTTTGTGAAGGAAAGTTTTCGTCTGGAGCTTCCAGAGCGTGCCTGATGTCAGCGCTACAGTTTCTCCAAACACGCTATTGTGCTGTGTAATTTTAAAAATATTATAAGAAGAAACAGTGGGACAGTAATAAAATTCTTAAGAATATTTTGCTAGGAAGTATTTGGTTTGATATGTTGAAGACTCTTATTTCGAGCTGTGTGGCTGGAAGGATCTTCACAGACCATCAGATATAATCTCTTCTTGTTGCATCCCTGTAAATCTTTCATAGATAAATCGTAGTACATTTTAAGGTTTCTTTAGTCTCTGCTAGGTCAACCGGAAAGCTGTCCCAGAAATTCCTTTCTCTGTTGGTTAAACCTCTAATATGATACAGCTTATGCATACTTTAATGTTGGCATGAGAGTAATTTAAATAGATTTTTCACTTTCCTTGTGCTTCTCCTTTCCCCAGTCCCACAGGACGACCTTCTTTGTCTTCGTTTTGCAGCTAAACAAACCAAGTTCTTCCTTTCCTCCTGTGCGCTAGGGCTTCATTTTCCTCAGCTGTCTTAATAGCCCTCGCCTACGTTTATTTGAGCTTGGAAAGCTAGTGAGCTTCCACAACTGGTTTTGCCTGTGTTGAGGATTTGCTGCTCGCCCATAGCTTTGGAGCATGTTCTTCAATCCTAGAGGTTGGAACAAAAGAACGGCAAGCCAGGGCCGTGAACAAGACACGCGGTCTCCGATTGTCTTGTGCCGTTTGCTCAGGGTGGATTCGTCAGTCGTAGGCAGTTTGAAAACCATAACTCATTTCCTCTGTTTGCTTCAGTCAGTTCTCTAATCTCACAGCCATTAAGAGTTATCTCTGAATAATGAATGGAGAATCCATTAAGAAGGGGAAAGGGCAAATATAGTACTTTAAAAAAAAAAAAAAAAAAAGGGAAACACTCCAGGTTCTTAGCTTTTTTCCTCCCCGGCTTTCTTTTCATCCGTTAGCTTCAGTTGCCAGAAGAAACACTGGAGGAGTTAACGAAGCAGGTTTAGTTATAGGTGCCTAGGACATGACAAGCAATTAGTAACAACTGGGTGTTGCCAATGCCAAGTTGTGTAACATCAATCTGAATTCTTACTGTAAGGGCTCCTGGCCCTGTCAGGAGGGGAGAAATCGCAGGGGCCGTGTGTCTTGATGTTTTTGGTAAAGCTTTTCTGACGCTGCCCTGTTTGATATGAGCAGGTCAGGGGGAAATGACTTGGGTGAAGATGTGATCAAGGGGATAGAAAACTCCTGGTGAGAGAAAAATAGATGATGTGCAAAAATTGTGCTATTTTGCGGGAGTCTCTCCTGAGTCTCACGACAGGCAAGGAAGGTTTTCTTTAATGCTTGGGGTAAGGGAATAGAGAGTATGGTTCTTGTCTTTAAGCAGGAAAAGATGAACTTGGAAAGTATCATTTGTGCAGAGGACTGGATGATAACTCAGATTGCTTTTGACTGGTTGGAGAAACGTCACTGAAAGAAGTCCTGTGAAATCTGGTAGAGACAAACGCAAAGTTAGCGAGTTCAATGTGAGTAATCAATTACTCAAAGGTCAGAAAAATCTGCTTTATCATGAGGAAAGGGAGTGGGATGTGCAAACAGGCATGCCCAGGTCTTCTGGAAGACGTTCCTGCACGAGGCTGGTAAGGCTTCAGCTGGAGCCGTGTCCTGGTTTTTGCTTAGACCTGGGCAAATCGGAGAGAGTGAATAGGTGAGGCCGTGTATCTTAGACTGGCCAGTGAGTAAGGTCTAATGAACTTGAGGTGGCTTGAGAACCTTCAGAGAAGGTGCAAGAGCTGTGTTTGATGTTTGTGTTTAGTTGTAGAAAGAAAGGAGATGAACTCTCTAGTTACCTATGAAAGGGAAGACAAGGACTTGCACTAAGGAAAACCCGAGTGAGCCATCAGGAGAAACTTCCAAGTGGGACAGAAAGGAAATGAGAGAGAGGGATCGAAGCCAGCAATCGTCAGAGATCTTCAGCAGAACTTTTGGGAATAATGTGAGTATCCCTCAACGTTTTGTAGAGCCAGGGAATGGACTAGGTTGCTTCTCGAGGCTGCTGCCAGCGAGCCGGACCTCTGCGCAGCACGGCCTGTTAGAACATCTCCCAACAAAGTGGTGCTTGGGTTTAGGACCTGCCCCTATTCCTCCTCCTCCTCCTCCTCCTCTGCTCTTTGCCTTCTTCCTGGTGTTTGTCATTTCCTGAGGTAAAATCTCAGGAGCAGCCAGCCTCAAAGCCATGATCTGGGGTCTGAGCCAAACAGGAGGCGGTAAGACTCTTGGAGGAGAAACTTTGTAGAGTGTTTCCCCTTCATCTCGGGAACTTTTCCTCCATGGTATCTTCAGCTTTTGAGGCTTTTCATTTACCCCCCATTTGCCAGCTGATACCCAGCCAGAAATCTAACATGTGCTTAAACAAATGGATTTGGCAACTGCAGGCAGTGTTTGTTGGTTCAACTGAAGGTGCCAGGGCGGTGGGGAGAGCTGATTTTTCACAGGACTTAGTGCCTGGTGGTGTCCATGTTCTGCCCAGGCATTTGCTGTGGCCTCAGGAACGGTTGAGAGGGAAGTGAGTTGAACTGGTTCAACTGGAGTCTGTCATCTTTTCTGAGGTTACTGGTTTGTGAGCAAGGAAACGTGGGTCTGGGGGGGGAACGCGCTGTGCCCTTCGGAAGGAGGTTAGGGAATGGGTAATCTCAATTTAGACCAGTTTAAATTTGGAGACACCTCTGATTCTACCTTATCATAGAATACTTTGGGCTGGAAGGGACCTCAAAGCCCCTCCAGTGCCCCCCCCTGCCCCGGGCAGGGCCACCTTCCCCCAGCCCAGGTTGCCCAAAGCCCCGTCCAACCTGGCCTTGAACCCTTCCAGGGAGGGGGCAGCCACAGCTTCTCTGGGCAGCCTGTGCCAGGGCCTCACCCCCCTCACAGGGAACAATTGCTGTCTCAGATCTCACCTAAGTCTGCCCACTGTCAGTTTAAAACTGTTCCCCCTTATCCTAACTACATGCCCTTGTAAAACGTGTGTCCCCCCCCTTTCCTGCAGCCCCTTTCAGCCCTGGGGGGCCACTCTAAGGTCTCCCCGGAGCCTTCTCTCCTCCAGCTGAACCCCCCAACTCTCCCAGCCTGTCCTCACAGGGGGGCTCCAGCCCCCCCAGCATCTCCGTGGCCTCCTCTGGCCCCACTCGAGCGAGTCTGTGTCCTTATGTGAATAGCGTCACTGAAAGCTAACTGTAAACACGTAATAGATTGGGTTTGTGTCCTCTGAAAGACACTGTAGAAGGTGGCAGTTAACTCCCGAGTCTCAACTTAATGGCCTGCAGGATTAACCAGATCTCATGCACTCTCCATCAAAGATCTCAGCACAAGATGGGAAAACACATACTGTTCTTGGTATTGCACTCGCCATTTTCAACATACTGCTTGTGGAAATCGACAATTTAATGTTACAGTACATCTCCTAGATTTATTTTTCATACATTTTGATCTAAATTTCAGGAATTTACGTTTATAAAATCAATTTAAAGCTTTATAAAATTGATCTGAAAAAACAGAATTCCTTTGTGTTAAGTCAGAATTCCAGAAAATGTTGATTGATTGGCTTCATGGCTGCTCAGCAGCTGGTGAAATGGGAAGGGACCTTCTTGGGCATCGTGGTGGTGTTGGTTGGGTAGATGGGTCACGTCGTTGCTGGTCACAGTTCCAGTCTCTCCTGACTTTGACAACAGTGTTACTAAACAGCCTACAACGTTTTGGGAACTTTCTACAGAAATTTGAGTACCGAGTCAGCGACGCTTGCGCTGTGTCCGTGGTTATGGTATGTAACTCAAAAATTGTAAATGGGAGTTTTAAAGTGGCTTATTCTTACGTTAATTTGGGAAGAACTGATCAGTAACAGGAGGGAGTGTCGGGGACAGCAGCATTTTGGGGTCGTTCAGACTCTCACTGCTGGAGCTCGCAGTCCCGTCGAAGTGTTGGCAGAGTGATTCTTGCTCCTGTTCCGTGCTGTCCACTGCTGGTTCCTACCAAGGCTCAGGACCGAGAGACACTTCCCTGAGATGTGAGACTTGGCAGTGAAAGTTTCTCCTTTTGGGTACAAGTTTCAGGTTGTCCATAAAAATACAAAGTTTAAAATGAAGAAATTTGTACCGTGACGTGATACTGGGTTTATTTATTGTGGTAAGATAGTAGAAGACCTTCTACAACCTGCCACTTTGCTGTTCAACAGATGGCTTCATCCACCTTAGTCGTGTAAGCCCAGTTACACAGTCCAGCGTCTTGTTTCTGTCCTAGTTGACTCTGAAATGTGTTTTTAAAAAACACAATCCCCTTTAAAGGAAAACCTGGAAGAGAAACGTCAGACCCTCAGTAGCCTCCTGAGCCTGGCTTACCGAAGCTTGCCCGTTCTGCGAGTGTTCAGCTACACCCAGGAGGGAGTGGGTCTGCCTTGAAGCTGGAGGATTCCTACTGCTCTTTGAACACCTCACACATCCCCCCGTAGCGGGGCCGCAGAGCACGTACGGGGCCGTGCACGCTTGTCCAGTGGATACACCACGCGGGGTTCTTTAAGCTGGCCTCTGATCCATACTCTTGTCTGTTTTCTGCAGGGACACGGCAGGGCAGGAACGATTTCACACCATCACCACCTCCTATTACAGAGGTGCCATGGGCATCATGCTAGTATATGACATCACCAATGCCAAGAGCTTTGAAAACATCAGCAAGTGGCTCAGAAACATAGATGAGGTGAGTAATGTTTGTAAGATTCCTGAATGGAGCTGTTTGCTGTGACCCGTAGAGTGTGTGATGAGTCCCACAGAACTCAGCTTCTGCTTCTACCCTGGCAGAAGGTGTAAATTAACACGGGTTTGGGTGCTGTTCCTTGGCTGTCCTGCGGTTCCCTCCCTCAACTCTCCCTTCAGCAATGGCACAAAGGGTCGCGATGCTGCACGGGAGCTAGCGGTGTCCTGAAACGTCCAATTCATACACGAGTGAACTTTGTGTTTGTGCTGGATAATACTCAGAGGTAAGGAACGTGTCTTCTGGTAACGGGGAATCGCAGTTTTCCGGAGGAGCTGCCACCATGAGGTGGTGTGCAGAGGAGCAGCACGAAGCCATAAGCTGTAGGGTAGCTACAGAACACATCGCTTCTCGTTCTGACCTATTTTATAAGGCTGACTGGGGTAAATTCTCAAAGATCATTAAATATGATCACCTCCGCTCCCTCAAAATCGACACTGTGAAACATTTGCAGGTTTTATCATGGCTGTTGCAGGTAGTATGGCAAACTGCTCTCGTTGAGTGTTGGCAAACTGCTCAAACCTGCATAGCTGATTTTTTTTGTTCTCCTTGTTTGAGAAGTGCCAAACAAGGAGGCTGGTAACATTTCAAGCCAGGTCAAGTGAAGCAGAAGAAACTGATGTGGAAAACATTCAGGGCCTGGATACCCAAGAGTTCATCCTCCAGGAGTTCTGAGATGTTAGAGAGCAACACAATTGTTAGTTCTTTGTTTTGTTATGCTGTTCCCAGCTGGAATAAATGTTGGGATTTTCCAACTTTGTGTTTTTTCTCGAAAGCATGAGGATGGCTCTGCAGAACAGAGTGTCAGCAGATGGGTGCTGACAGCCTGGTGAGAGGTTCTTAGCAAAAAATTTTATATTGGGACCTTAATGTTCTAGTGTGAGAAATGGGAAACTCTACTGTTAGACAAAGGTACACGTTTTGGTACAGAAGGAGGGGCAGGGAAGTGAGGCAGCACAGGAAGAAACTCAAGAGATGAGTTGAATGTAAGCTTGAAACCAGGGTCTTCAGATTCTGCAGTTGCTTGGTTTAAAAACAATTCAGCAGTATCCAGGAGTGAGGGATGTCGTTCATCCCATCACCCTGAGGAGAGAGTGGTTTTGCTGCCCTCCTGGTTTTAAATCTGCACCATGCAAACCCCAGCAGCTGATTTCAGGTACGTGGGGACAGCAGCGTGGTTACTGCAGTTTTATAAGGGATGTTTGACCCTCCAGGAAGGTTTTTTTATTGTGGAAGAAGCTCACTAAAGGAGTGCGTTTGCGGGAGTGACGGGCAAAATCATCCTCTGGGGTTCCAGATGCAGTGTTGAGGCTTCTGGCTGAAATGTGTGCAGGTGTAACCCGCTGAGGGGCAGGACATTGCAGATGGCAGTTGCGAGCGAAGGGACGGCGTGCTTCGGCTTCACATGGCCTTACCATCGCTGAGGAGATCCTCTGAAGGAGGAGAATTCCCACCGAGCCGGCTGCTTGTCTGATTTGCTAGTCTGTGCGAGGAGCCTCTTCTACAGGCCACTTAAGCCTTGATTTAGAAATGACCAGGAAACCTAGAGACATTACACCTTCATCCTTGCGAAATACTTCATTATTTAAAGCTCAGATATTCTGCAGAGGTGCCCTACGCCGTGCACTTTTGGGCTTGAGCAGAGTTGAGTTACTCAAGCGCACGGTTCTGTATGTTGGGGCTGGCGGTAGTTGAAAGAAGCCTCTTGCTGTGTAAGCAGTTTTGGGTGTGAAAAGTTAATGTTTTCAGAGTTTTATTCTACGTGACATCTTAATCTGCCTTTGGTGATTGGCTGCTCTTCCTCCTTGTGTCCCAAAAGAAAAAAAAACGGGGGTGATTCTCCTGAGGGATGTGAAATGGATTGTTGCTGTAAGCAGGAGCATGGCTACGTGGATCTCCTGCCTCTGTAGTTGTGTGAGTAATGCTACTGTAAAGTAGTATTAAGAGCATTGGAGTGAAAGTAAATTCAGATTAGTCATTCCAAGAAGCTGCTCGTGGCAGGTTTTAAAGTACTTCAGTTATCCACTTAAGTGATGCTTTGTGCTGGAGCTTTTCTGCTAGTCTGGTGCATCTCTCTGGCGTACTCTTTCCTTCCTGTGATGGATACTGGCAGTGCTTCCATAACTGAACCACCGAGGTATTTTTACTTGTTCAGTGTTCCTCGAGAAAGCGTTGGTGTTGTATTAGAACTAGTGTGAGCAGCAGGAGCAGGGAGGTGACAGTCCCCTGTGCTCGGCACTGGTGAGGCCACACCTGGAGGGTTGTGTCCAGGTCTGGGCACCTCAATCCCAGAGAGATCTGGAGGGGCTGGAGCGAGGGCAGAGGAGGGCAGCGAGGCTGGGGAAGGGCTGGAGAATCAATGCTGTGAGGAGCCAGGGAAGGAGCTGGGAGTGTGCAGTGTGAGGAGGAGGAGGCTGAGGGGAGCCCTCATCCCTCTCTGCAGCTCCTGACAGGACATTGCAGAGAGGCTGGGGCTGGGCTCTGCTCCCAGGGGATCAGGGACAGGACAAGAGGGAACGGCTGGAAACTGCCCCAGGGGAGGGTCAGGCTGGGCAGGAGGAGAAAATGTTTCCCAGCAAGAGTGGTCTGAGCGTGGAACAGGCTGCCCAGGGAGGATTCTGGGATTTGAGGCTGAGCCCTGGTCTGCAGCCTCGTCTCGGCCTCCGGATGGGAACGGTGTTGCGGGAAGCAGAGGGTCAGTAGCCCGTGTCAGTCCAGGCACCAGAGGCTGGTGCTGCTTTAGGGATGTGAAAGCACGAAGCTCCGTCCCCTCGGCAGGGCAGGTGGCTGCTGGTCTCAGGGCAACGCGCTGGATCATGACAAACTCACTCAGGTTTGTTGAAGGAGGAGCGTTGCCAAAAGCAAACGCTGCCGCACCGTATGCAAGCTCCTGATTTATTAGCACTTGTTTACGCAGGTTCATTTTTACTTCTACATCCTTCTGACCTTCGGGGTTTGCCTGTTCACTGCTCACCCCCTCGCCACGCTCCGCAGGTGCTGCTGTTTCTTCCTGCTGCTTCCCACACTCCCATTCTTAATTCCTACAGGTGGCCAGGAGAGAGGTCAGAGAGGAGCTGCCATGGTGGCCGTGGGGACAGGAGAGCGGTGACACTGTCCTGCTGTGGTGACAGCCAGCAGCAGCCTCCTGGGTGCCCTCTGTCACCTCCAGAGAGCCTGAACTCCCCCCTCCAGCTCTGCCCAGCCCTGGGGGGATTAAAGGAGCATCCGGAAAGATCAAGTGAAGACCAAGGGGCTGGGAGACCGTGCTTCACCCACGTGCTTCATCTCCATGTGTGATAAAACCAGTTGCTTCTCTCCTGGCCCCTTTCCTGCCCCGTGGGGCAGGGGGGGGACAGGCACAGCTGTGGGGCAGTGTCCGGGGATATGGGACGGTGCTGGGGAGGTGACCGAGAGCAGCTCAGAGACCACACTGAGGGGCTGGAAGCAATTTCCTCTGCACCAGGAAATCCGGGAGGAGATTGGGGAGAAACATCCATGCCTCGTCCTGGCTCCCAGCAGCCTTCCCCCGGCTCCCCGACAGGCCCCTCCGTTCTGTCGGGATGAAAGTGTCTCACACAGTTACTATTTAGTAGCAATTTCCGGTCTATGAATGGGGTGAGGTGGGTGAAAAGGTTGAATTTTATCAACACTTGATGACTGACCAATTTAAAGATTAACCAGGTGGTTTGGCAGAACATGGTATGATTAAAATAGCGACTTAGTTACGGATTTGAGAGTGGTGAGGTTCACACCAACTTACTACGAGGTATTCTAACTCAAAAGGTGTATAAACATATGGACAACACAACGCGCAAACAGCGCAGAAATCTTTGGGTATCCGGTGCAATACGTAGACATCCACCCTTGTGACAGCAGATGTGGGTAGTTAGGCATACGGGAAGGTGAAGAGGTGGATGGAAGAGGCCAAGAGTTCAAAACTCCCTCGTCTCCAGCTTGGAGCAAGCACAACTCACCGTCATTCCTCAGCGGGTGGTGGTTGAGAGGCAAGAAGAGGTTTGACCTCACCCCGACCTTCTGTCACGTTTGCGGGCAGGTGATCTTCCGACTTCAGGGAGTCTGAGCCCCAGAGTGGCCCAGCTGAGGGGAGATGCTGGTCACAGCCCGCTGCCATCTGGGAGAGCTCGGAGGGTCTCGCCTGGAGTCGTTGTTTGGAGGGTCTGAGATAATTATTTACAGGGGCTGAGAGAGTCGACTTCCATCAGGTATTTTTCCATTTCGGCCCAGCTTGGGTGATGATGGGATATTCTGGTACTTTCTAGCGAGAACTTGGCAGTTCTGGTATCAGCCCTTCGAGCCCCAACCCAGAGCTGCACTGGCCTCTCGGGACGTATTGGTGGTCCCTGTTGTTCTGAAGCACGGGAGAGGGGGCAGGACCCTGGGGGGCTGAGAGGGCCCCCCCACGCGCTGGTCCCCTGCCTTGCCTTGCTCATCCCACCCTGGGGGGGAATTGCACCAAGCCCCAAGTGGCCTGAGAGATGGGGGGGGCATGACCCTGTTCCCACTGCCACCACGCCTCTTGGGGAAGGGAATGGGGCTGGCGACAGCACTTGGGCTTGACGGAGCTGCACTGGCTCTTGGTCTCACTTTATTATCCCCCGGGTGCTGATAAAGGGGTCGTCTGATGATTTGGCTGTGGGAGCTCTGTGGCTTGTGCTTGGTTCAGATCTTACTCTGCTTCCAAGAAATCAGAGCACTTCTTGGAGAAGGTCTGGCAGCCTGTGAAACTGAAATCGCTCCTCGGGCTCATGTGCTTTCAGACAAAAGGCCTTATTTCTGCTTTTTCACATCAAGTGTTTTTCCTCCACCCCCCTCCTGAGGACGGAGGATGCAGAGGGGGGCTCTGAGCAGAGGGCACTGGTGCTGCAGAGGTGGGGAAAGGAGGATTTGGGGTGGGTTTGGTGGGTGAGGAATTGCCTGGCTGGTCACATCCAGAGGGTCAACGGCTCAATGTGACGAGTGGGGTCCCTCAGGGGGCCGTACTGTGACCAGGACTGTTTCATACCTTCATCAGCGACACAGACACTGGGATCTGAGTGGGGCGGGTGACAGCCTGAGGGACGGGATGTCATCCAGAGAGACCTGGACAAGCTCCAGGAGTGGGACAGTGCGAACCCCATGAGGTGCCACAAGGCCAAGGGCAAGGTCCTGCCCACGGGTTGGGGCGATCCCTGGTATCAACCCAGGCTGGGGGTGAAGGGATGGGGAGCAGCCCCGAGGAGAAGGACTTGGGGGGTCAGTGGATGGAAAACTGCCTGTGAGCCGGCAATGGGGGCTGGCAGCCCAGAAACCCCCCGTGTGCGGGGCTGCACCCAGAGCAGGGTGGGCAGCAGGGCCAGGGGGGGGATTCTGCCCCTCTGCTCCGCTCTGGGAGACCCCCCTGCAGGGCTGGGTCCAGCTCGGGGGCACCAACAGCAGAAGGACACGGACCTGCTCCAGCGGGGCCAGAGGAGGCCACGGAGATGCTGGGGGGGCTGGAGCCCCCCTGTGAGGACAGGCTGGGAGAGCTGGGGGGTTCAGCTGGAGGAGAGAAGGCTCCGGGGAGACCTTAGAGCGGCCCCCCAGGGCTGAAAGGGGCTGCAGGAAAGGGGGGGGACGACACTTGTCATCAGGGGGGGGATAGGATGAGAAAGAATGGTTTTAAACTGACAGTGGGCAGATTTAGGTGAGATCTGAGGCAGCAATTGTTCCCTGTGAGGGGGGTGAGGCCCTGGCACAGGCTGCCCAGAGAAGCTGTGGCTGCCCCCTCCCTGGAAGGGCTCAAGGCCGGGTTGGACGGGGCTTTGGGCAACCTGGGCTGGGGGAAGGTGGCCCTGCCCGGGGCAGGGGG